GTCTGATAAACCTGGATTCGATAGTCGACCCGATTTTCGGAGCGTCGACGAAGGTAAATGCGCACTTGAAGTCGTTCTCTTCTCACCGCAACGCACTCGGGGTAATACATGGAAAAATGGGGCAATATTTATTTATTTTTTTTAGTTTCTGTCGTGTACTATGTTTTCAAAGTATGTGAATTGTCCGCCGAGGTATCAGCAGCCGTGACGAAATTTCGCGTTTCAAGCCGCTGTGTCACGTCTATCAAATGAATCGACGCTGAACGGCACAGGCACTTTAACATTAAAATATGTCTGAGGACACTGGATACTTCTGGTGCAGTTCCCCTGTGATTCAAGAGAAGGCATGGCTGGCGAGAAACAACGCGAAAATTTGTCATGACACAAAGCAAACAATGCATTTTTGGCACTTGACATTTTTGTTCAACGTGGAAAACTAGCAATGAAATACAAAATCGATTTTAAAAGAGAGTGAGCGAAGTAACATATTATGCATCATAGCTAAGGTGTATACTTTCCGGTGTTTATTTATAACAAAAATCGGCGGATGTTCATCAGCTCAGTTTATTTATAACAAAAATCGGCGGATGTTTATCGGTGAATTCTCTCATGGAGACGCTAAAAACGGGGATCATTGGGGGGGGATTGCGAATGTAAACCACCACGTACTGAAGACGAAAAACAGTTCAAATTTTATTTACATCTTTTACACAGCCCCTTTCACACATGATTATTGTAGTATATGCATGCATACATTCCTAGGCTCGTGTCTGTCACTGACGCCCGCTCCTTCCTGTTGACGCAAAAGGAGTTTCATAGAGTCGTGTTGAAAAGTGCATGCAACCAGCTTAAAGGGATGCTGGACCAAAATTAAGATTTCAGAAAATAAGAAAATACTTCAAGTAAAAAGTAAATGAGACGTGATGTAATTTAAGTAAATTTGTATTAAAAACACTGGGAACAATCTACTTGAAGTAGAGTACTATAAGTACGATGTACTTTCAAGGTAAAGTACAAGTATTTTAACACAATCTTTCATGATGCCCTTTCATTCCCCTATACAGTGATTTTTTTTTTTAAATTGCTGTGCATTGCCCAGGGGTAATCAAGGGTGCATGACCTCAAAAACAGCGGCGAATATTTGATGAAGTCAAGTGGCCACAGAGTAGTCTTTTTCAGGAATGGAGCCAAATTCAGAAGACCCTCTTCTGAATTTGGTGCCACTTGTACTGCACTGTTGCACCCAAGGGGGTTAAATGTAATAAAATGGAGCATAATGTCAGCCCCATAGCTCTCATAGAAAAATGTCCTCTCCTTAATTAAAAAAATAATATGTGTGCAAGCGAGCTGGTAATAATTAATCATAACGTGACGCCTGAGATTGGGGTGCGAAAAAAATTAAGGAACTTTCAAATAGAAGGAAAAGACAAAAGAGAATGTCTCAAAACATTGTTCCTCTGTTGTCTTTCACTTCGACTTGAAAATTTAGTTTTTTTCGCAAAACAGTCTCGGATGCTACATTATGATTATTTTTCTCTCCTAATATTTCAAACCTCCTCGCTTGCGCTGACCGACCAAGCAGTAGCGAGAGTTCAAAAAGCTACGGGAAAGGCGCTACCAGTACAAATGGGGCGATGCGTCGTCTGCTCACGTTTCTGGTGAGAGTAGAATATCCCTCCCGGTATTTCTTTGAAGTTGACAAGGCATCACGTTGTGATAGAAATTTAACAAAACCAAATTTGGGGAATGTACTTTGAAGTTGAGAATTGTACTTTCCTCGAAAATTAGCAGAAACATTCCTTTAAGTAAAGTACAAGTGCATACTCAGAGAATGTACTTGAAGTGAAGTACAAGTTTCCTAAATCTAATATAAGTAGTCCTTTAAGTACAATATACTTAAGTACATTCTACTTTAAGTACAATGCACTTAAAGTACTTCCTAACACTGGACGCAGACGTGTTCAGAACGGATTGAGCGATACTTTAGAGAAGTATCGCTCGATGTACCGCTTGTCGAAGTGAAGTGCGCACACCGCAGTGTTTTCCTGAAGATGCGTGTATCCCCTCGAAATATTCCTGTCTCACTGAGAGAAGAAAACTGGGCCCTTCAGGACGGCGAACAAGGTGTTGATCATGATGTAAAAAACCCGAGACTGTGGTAAAAGCAGGGAAACTTGCCGAAGAAGAAAGAAAGGGGAAAAGAACGTCTTTGAGACGTTCTCTTCCCCTGTCTTTCTTCTTTGCCGAGTTTCCCCACTTTTACCACAGTCTCGAGTTTTCTGCATCGTGATCAACATCCACCAGCTTGCCTGCGCACTCACTGTTTTTTTATGAACACCGTGTGTTTTTTCTTTTGCAGACCTGTAGCCTGTCGTGCACCCTGGAACGAAGCAGTGCTTCGCTCGCTGCTTTTTTCTTTACGCCGGAGGTTGGCGGGGCAACGTCCATGTTCTCCATGTGTCACCTGACGGACGGGCATGCAGGAATGGTTGAAATAAACTCACACGAGCGCTAAAGGATAGATGAAAGTGGGCGTGAACTCGTCGCTACCCGTCTTGCTGCACGGAAATTCCTGCGTCAGCTGCGCGCGCCAAGCATACACGCTGAGTAGAGCGCCCCTAACGGTGATTTTCAAAACCGGCCGCGCCAATGCATGGGAGAGCCGGCGCGCTCGACACACCCAACTCTCTAGCCACCCTAGTTGGGGCCATCCATGGACAGCTGGACAGCTTTCGCCAGCGGCAAATTGGCCAAGGCAGCCAGAAGCTTCTCCTGAAGGTCTTCGACAGTCGAACCCATGAACACCGACGTGTAATATCTCGTGGTTACACGCTCGGCATTGTGCTCCAGTACCGGAAATGTATGTCCATCTGTTTTCTCTGCAGGCAGTTGTTCAAAGACTCATCAAACAGAACGGTGTAACCATCAGACTGCTCTAATTCGCGTTGTAGGCACAAGAGAAAAAACAATCTCAGACCATGGCACACCACGTATGCAGATTTCTTTTCGCCACAGGAAAATGCCTCAGCGATTTAGCTATCAGGGACCATTTCCTTGAACAATTCCCCTGCATGTGATGACGAGTTGTAGGAATAGTGCAATGTTTTCAGGATCCACAGTATCTCCGCGTCGGTCACACACTTGTGCGCTTTGCTTAGGCTGCTCACATCGAATGACGTCGATGGAGCTGGCTCGATGCATTGCTCATGAACAGTTGTCGTCAAGTAGCTCCGCACGGTACTATGCGCCGTAGTCGCTTTCATATTCTCCATGTGATTTGCGCTCTGATGGACTGAATCTGACCAACGTTAGATTCGGCAAAGTTCGGCAAATGCTGAACTTTTGAAGGAAAGTTCGGCAAAGATTCGGCAAAACTTCGGCAAATGTCCGCGCACGCGCGAGAACGCGATGGAGCCATGGACTGCAAACGGACGCCGTGCAGTCATGTGGTTACCATCGTGCATTGCAGTGTAGTATACCAGCGGTTACAGCACGATGTGGAGTAGGCAACACTGTAACTGCGTTTGTGAGCGAGTGTGGTTCTCTTCAATATTTTCTGCCTCAAGAATAGAAGATCAACCAGTAATTTCCGCAGTCAACTGCGCAAGTGACAAATGATGTGGTGCATTCTGAAACATTGGCCGACAATTACTTTAAAGCACTCCTCGCAACGATAACAATTCTGTTTGCGGCTCAGGAGTAGTGTGTTCCAAAACAAAATAATATTGCTTTTTGAATTAGTGTTATTTTGCGATTTTCACGTACCTGCATAAAACTAAACAGAGCTATAATGCTCGACGTTGCACATCCGACATTTCTAACTCTTCCTATCTTCCGAAACGTTTGTGTGTGTCCTAACACCAGAAACTGGCATTTTAAAGGTTTGAAACGAGACGTTGCGAATATGAGACGCACACTTTCATGCAAAGCTGACGTCAAGTGACTCAAATCGAAAAACATGCATATTTACAATATTGTTATCTCTTCTGGTGAAGGCTCAGCAACCATTGCATTCGTTTTCGCGCACGAAATGGTGACTCCCAGAGAAAGTAAGAACGCAGCGATATTGCCTTCGTTTTAACAATGTACACACACATGCAGACTTGCGCTGATGATGCCTCAAAACCGAAAATCTCGTAGCGTGATTCGTGACTGCGCCACGCTCGCTTCTACCCCACCTTGTTGTCACGCCACTTCTGCAAGGAGCCACTAAAATTGCCAGTAAACACACAAAAACGACACTGATACAATTATCTTGTAGACTATCACCTTATTTAGTAATAACTATCAATATGCATTACATGTTGCATTTCAGTTAAGAAAAAAGGAACAAAAAGCCTTCTTTCTCCAGAAAAAACGTTAAGTCTGGTAACAATGTATTTTTGCCGAATCTTTAAAAAAGTTTGGCTTTGTCGAATCCCAAGGTTCGGCGCCGAACTTTCGATTCGGCAAAAGTTTGGCACATCACTACATTTAAGGGAGGACGCGGGGATGAACTCGCGAAAAATGTCAAAAAAGTTTATTTTTAGAAAGTCGACTGTTTCACATTGATGGGTCTTCCTCTTTGGCCACTCAAAGTTTTTTCGTTGAAAACTATCTCTAAGTGCTCTAAATAATCACTTATATGAGGTCAGGTAGCAAAGTACTGCTTCCAATCCGTGAAAATTCCTCGTTTTTCAAACCCCCGTTTCTCCGCGACTGCGCTACCAAGCGCGGCTTTCTTGGTCTCTACGGAAAGCGCATTTCGTCATCTTCCTATTTCCCACGTCTACCGTCTCCTCAAATGCGAACTAAGCACATAAAAAACAAAACTTCGGAAGCCTCCCGGATGGAACCGGCAGCCTCCGATCGGCCTTCTCTGCTGCGCGGGTCGGGTGCACTCCATCATTGGCCGGCAGAGTGGCTGCCCCTAGCAACAGCGCCGGCGAGGCCGGTATCTGAGAGAGCGTTGTCTGCTCCTACGCCGCTTTCGCCTGCTCGCCAAAGGTGCTTTTCTTTCTTTGTTTCGGGTTACGCTGTTTTTGCTCCCACTCGGACTTTTTCGCGCGATCATGGATCAACAATCCTTCAAAAAGAAGCATGGGACGACGCATCGCTTCGGCAATCGCAAGCGGAAATCCCCAATGGCCAAGAAAAGTAAGAAAACTTCCCTCCTGCCGCCAAGTTTCGAAAGTGCGCGTCTCATTGAAGCGCAGTTTGCTGCGGACGGCTTAAATGCACAGCCAAGCACTTCGTGTCCTGTTACTGGCATTGAAGACATGGCCTCCACGGGCACCGATCGGACCGTTCAGGCGCATTTATAACCAAACTTTGTTTCGACGGAGGAGTCCCGCAAGTGCGCTGCTGCGGTCCACGAGTCATTGAGAGTATCGGCAACTGAGCGGAAAATGAACCTGACCGGCAAAGGCCACAAACCCGCGAGTGTGGAGCCATCTGATGACTATTTGGTGGTTCAGGTCGCGGCACTGAATGCGCTCCTCAGCGAGACACCATGCCCGAAGTGTTTCAAGCCGGGAGACACCGTCGTGCAGGGAACAAGGCTTGGTTTGGCGGTGAAGATGCTCCTAATTTGTTCTACGTGTGGCGTTGTCTCTAACCATTGGTCATCACCGCGACAAGGAGACAGCCGGGCCTTCGAGGTGAACTTGAGGTCAATGCAGGCTGTGAAGAGTGTTGGCAAGGGTGCAACTGCACTGACAGACTTTTGGTCTGTTATGAACGTGTCACATCGGGGAATGCACCACAAAACATTCCAGGGGCACCTCAAGTCCAAGTTCAGCCCTGCCGCAGATACAGCTGCAGCAGGTGTATTTACTGATGCCGTAAATGCTGTGCGCAGTGTACGAAGAAATGGACCCAACCTTCACAAAGAGTGTGACTGTGATATACGACGGCACATGGATGACACGCAGTCACACATCCCACATTGGTGTGGGTACCATGATTGAACATTACACGGGGTTAGTTTTGGACTCTGTCATTCTTTCAAACCTTTGCCATGGGTGCGCAGTGGGCCCAAAGCCAGATGCTGAGGGTTACAGCCAGTGGGTGCAGTTGCACAAATGTCAAAGGGACACTGAAGTGAAGTTGGGCAGGATGGAAGTTGAGGCGGCCCTGTTGCTCTTTGGACGTTCCCTAGCCAAGAACGACTTGCACTACACCAAGACTGTATGCGTTGCAGAAGATGGGATCTGCTCAGCGTGCCCTCATTACCAAGGGCAAGAAAGGACAACCCCTCGGCGGAAGAGGTGGCCTGACACAGGAGCTGATCAAAAGGCTCGCCAGGTACTACGGCATGGCTTTACGAAGCCACCCTGACGTCGATGAGATGCAGCGAGCGGTGATGGCAACTTTCCACCACATAACTTCAACAGATGAAGAACCTCATCATCATCTTTGTCCACCTGGACCCATGAGCTGGTGCAGACATCGAGCAGCAGAAGCTTAAGGTGAGTCTCAGCCAGCTCACAAGTACCAGCTGGCGAGCCGTTGCCACTGCCCTCCTGCCAGTGTACCAGCACCTCTGAGATGAGCACACTACCCTGATAGTAGCAGAGACCACCGTCAGCGAGGCAATCCGCAAGTTCAACTGTGGCAGCTATCGTGCCTACACGGAGTTTTGTTCTTCCCTCGGTATCCGACCTGGACGACTCGCCCTTCGTAGGGTAGCGGAGGACGCCTCGCGGAAAAAGAAAGCTTCAAAAGCTTTTCAAGCAAAAGGTCAGAAGCCAAATAGGGGCCGTGCTGAAAAGGATGTGGAAAACTGCAACCCTGGTGGCTTCTAAGGTGTGAAGCAGAACCTAGAACTTTAGAGACCGTTTCCTCAGAACTTTTTGCTTTCCGCTCAGCTCGTGGAGCTGATATCTTGGCTACCACTTTGAGCATTTTTGTTCCGTTTGTTTTATTATACTCTTTAAACTATGCTACAGCTCATGGCATTCTTATTTTTTTAGATTATTTTATTTTTCAATTTATGAGGGGGTTCTTTGTCTGCATGTCCTTTGTTCCTGTCCAAACCAGGTGACAAAAATGAAAATTAAAAATAATTATGACAAAAATAAAACAAAATTAAAGAATGTCATGTTTTGTAGGATACATTTGGGAATATTGTTGTACAACCACCCTTCTATTCTTTTAAATTCTGCAGGCTCTCCACAAAGACTGAAGCAGAAAAGTTTGATAAATCAAAAAGGAGTGTAGATAAGAAAATAATATTGTGTTTGTATCACCATACAGACATTACCAACATATGTGCCAAATTTTATTAGAATCTGATGAAAATCAAAAAAGTTTCTGCTGATCCCCACTTCGTCCCTTAAGGGCTGACTCCCCCATTGATGACACATCAAACGTTTTCCCACATGGCTTGCACTTTGCCCAATGCGAGTTCGATGTATCCGGATGTAGCTGGCTTGGCGCTCTTACAGCCACGCAATGCAAGCGATGTGTTTGCTTGAATCGAATCGCGGGAAAAGCAACGGGCGGACAGGCTTCCTTCGCTACATCAGGTGTCCCCACCATGGGAGTTGGATTGAAAAAGACAAAGCTCCTATACTACTTACTATATGTGATTTTCAAGGGGATGTTTGGACTGTTTGATATCAACAAAAGTTAGAAATACCTAAGTGCGATACTAAAACCGGGCTCGCATGTATTCATTCCTAAAACAAAAAATCTATTTCCTTTTTTCCCCTGACCAGGCTTAGAAGTTTTCCCGGATTTGGTTTCCCCGAACTTGGCGTGTATGCCTGTGTAATGTTGGAAAGTTAGGTGTGTGTGCTTCTTTGTTGTCTTGTGATACTCCACTGGGAAGGCATGTCGCTGTCAGTGGGCATGAAACCATGAGCATAAAATGACTTACTTTGTCTTGTCTTGAACACAGACCCCTACTCCATTAAGCGGAACCTGACCTACTCCATCCCGAACGAGGATATGAACCTGTTCCTCAAGCGGGCAGTCTGTGAGTCTGCCATAAACTTCCACGAGCCACAGGTCACTGTGGCCATTGACCTGATCCGTGAGAACATGCGTGCGTGTCCCTGTTGGTGCGCGGACAACTCGGAGTTTGAGGCGAACTCTGATTCGCACCAGGAGGAGTCCCAGGTGAATTCATCTATCCTCTACCACTTTGGGATTGCCCGCGTTTTCCTCAAGGTTCAGACAAGCTCGGGAGCCGACACGCATACCTGCCAACTCTCCCGAATTGTCCGGGAGCCTCCCGCGACCTGGAAACTCCCAAGAAGTTGTCGCCGTAGTTGTTCAAATTTTTTATGACGCCCTCCTGCTATAATCATCTGAGTTACTCGAGATTAGGTTTAGGTTACTCCGGCAAGTTACCACGTGACAAATCATTTAGTGCAGCAGCGTAAAAAGAGGGTAGACTTTTAAACGCCAAGGTAGGAAGTCTCTACTCTGGAGTAAGTTTGAGCGCATTTTGGAAAACGGCTTATATGATCATAAGAGAGCACTGCGCTAGGCTCTTTTTTTTTGCTAGGTTTAGTTTTGCTGAAACTGTGATCACCCGATGCAAAGGGTTAAAGGGCAACTCCGCTCAATTCCGAAAAATTTAGGCTTCCATGTGATTCATATTCACAAAGCACTACTAAACAACTCTACGTCTTCGGATTCGCGAAATGTGGAATAATTGTGTAATCCTAATTTAAACATCAGCAGATACCGAAACCGAAACTTCGGTTGCGTCAGGCAACATTGGTCTCGGGTCGTCAGAGTCATGGCACGTCACGTCGAACCACGTGGTCTTGTGACGTTCGGGAGGAAGCAAGAAACCGAGTGAGTTTTTTTTTTTTTTTTTTTTTTATTGGACGCGGGCAGGTCGCTTTGCATGGCGTGGACGGTGATGGCCCGGGGGCGAGGGGGAAGGGGAGAAGACGAAAGAGGAGAAAAGGAGCGGAGAAACAGACCGATAAGCGCGCAGGGCAGCGCATCCCAGGCGCATCCGTGTTACGGTGATCACGTGAACGCCCAGTCAGCCAACACCAGGAGGAGAAACTCATGACGTCATCGGTCAATTTCGCTCCGAGAAGTAAAAACAAACAAAACGTGAGAATGGCGTATGCATGCCTCTGACGTAGTGGCTCAACGTTGGCCGCTCCATCTCCATGGCATTGACTGCACTGGTGATTGCGCCACGCGCCGCACGCTAGAGTTGGCAGATTTCGGCGACTTAGCTCGCTTGAAGGTTTGCTGGCCAGTTTTTTCAATATATAAACGGAATCAGATCGTAATATTTGACATGGGGTCTTCCTATATGATACTGAAGAGGGCTACATAGTTTTCTAAATATCAAAAATGAAGCGGAGTTGCCCTTTAAGCCACCACATCGGTATCCAGTTGGCTTTAACCACTAAGTAGTTGCAAGTATTTCTGAGATCATACAGGATGGAGCTTCCGTGCTTTGTCACTTCGCGGAAAGATGACAAGTATGGATTGTGCACTACTTGCTCCTGCAATGCGAGCATTTCGCGCGGCGGCAAGACCGACGTCAAGATGCACATCGCTTCACAAAAACATCAGGACAATGTTTGTACCGCAGGAGGTCAGGGCACCATGGCGAGGAGAGAATTTTTCCCCGACTCGCCCCGCTCGCCCTGTAGAGGCTGTGACGACGCTAGCTGTCGGCGCGCTCGTTTCTATTTATTTTTTTTGCATGTATTTCGTAGGAAGAGTACATTTTTATATGTGCCTTTATTGAGGTATGGCCTGTAGCTACAGGCGAAACATCAACCAACATTTTAAGCATGGTTGACAGGGCAGGCGACGCATGAATCGCAGCTGGTATATGAAAATAAAGAAATATGGTCACCATTGCAGGAGCATCCCTACAGATTTACATCTCACAAAATAAATGCTGCTGATGGTCTGAATAAAAGATCGCTGAGGCAGAAAAGCTACATGCTGCTCGAGCAACATGCTAAATACAGTCTGGGCCATGGGGAGAGAATCACAAGCAAGACAGCCCAAGTGCAGGGGCAAAGTAAAAAAACAAGGAATATTTATTATATACCTAGATTTTTCGCATTTGACCTTTGCTGGATTCGGATAGTATTTCAAAGAACTACGCGGGTGGTATATGTGAACTTGTTTATATCAACCCTCAAGTATAACAAATGTAATTGAAGGTGTCTAGCTCGTTATTAGTCCCTTAAGCCCTAAAATTGAGATTTTACTTCAATCGAATTGTCCTGAAGCTAAATATTAGAAGCTTTTCTCATTTAAACTGTTACCCTTCACAGGTTCCACATTTTCTGCTACTTGTGCTGAATCTACCACTGGACAGACGTGCGAATATTCGCTTTTACTCCTCTTTTCCTCTGTTGTCAGAGAGTCCAGCTGTAGGGAGTTTGGAGGCTGATGAAGCTTTTGGAGACCTGCAGCAGTGTCTCTTTTAAATGGAAATGACAACCCAAGGCTAGAATAAAAATGCCAGGAAAAAGTATAAACATTCCAAATTATGGCACTATTGCTGTGCATATTTTGGTTAGTTCAATACATATCATACAGCAACTGGGAGCAATTTGACCGTCTTTGCTGCTACCATACAAACTAATTTCCAGTAATTGTGCATTTTCTAAGAAATATGCCTGCATACATGTATAAACTATATAATTAATTCACGAAGAAACTACATTTATGTAAAACATCCCTGTTCCAGGAGCACTTCAAAGATAATCAGACACAGAGCCATTAAAACATTTGCGAACCAGCGCATGCAGGGTGGCAGCGCAAAGTCGGGGTCGCGCGCATTATTCGGGTGGTGGTTCCTCGGCAAGCACCGGCAACTTTGCGGCGCTTTTTCCCCCCGAGCTCCAAACGGCCAAGCGAGTAGGCACCAGACTGTACCCGGTGTCGTCACTTTCGAAATGGGAGAGAAGGACAGAGAGAAAAAAATTAACGAACCAACGAGACTGACCTGAAGTAACTTCACCAGTCACTACTCGAGTCAATCCAAGCCGCTGGGACATGGGTGACGGCAGCTACGACGGCGACAGCCTCTTACTAGCGGTGTCGCGTGGGTAACAGGCGAAGATAACTGCCGCCGTCGACGTTTCGTGTTCGGGTGCTGAAAGTCACATGGTGTGCCGCTGGTGCGTTACTGGTTGCCGGTTCCGCCGGCTCGGTCTCGCCGGCGATTGACAACCCGAATTCATCATTAGTTTGGTACTTTGCACGCGCAGACCCTGGACGACGAGGGCGGCTCGGAGTACGGGTCCAAGAGCCCATCCGCAAAACCCCACAGGCGGAAGGAGGCCTCCACAATCACTGGAGCATCCCAGTTTGTCCAACCCGGGCCCCCGATGGCCCAGCAGAACATCGAAAGGTTGTCGAGGCTCTCGAAAGAGGACTTAGACTACCAATTCACCCGCGAGACCCTCTCAAACGGGCGGGTGAGGAAGGTTAAATGTTGGGGACGGATAAAGGAAAAGACCAAAAGTCATTCGCGGACGACGGCCTCCCAGCCAGAGTTCCATTTCTTCTTTCTTTCTTTTTGATTGCAGTTTTTCAAGTTTTGCATACTTGACGCTACTTTCCAGGTTGCAAGCACGGCAACGCCGGCTTTCAAAGGAGGCATGCAACGATTTTTTCTCACTTCGGCAGGCCAGTAGAGGCATGCGAATGGTTGGGTTTTGTGTTCAAATCGAACAGCGGTCGACCGTATATTCAGGTTCCTAAGGTGTGCAACAGGTACCAATTTTCATTGACACATTTTTTGCAGAAAAGGTTTTTGAGGACTGTAGTTATTTTTCTTGGACAGCAATTTTTTTGCAGGATCTATTATGCATTTAGGTGTTGTTTAGTTTCTAGGCTTGAGTCCGAAAGATTGGAAAGTCCGAGTCCAGAGCCGATGGGAGCTTACTTTACTGCGTTACAGGTTTTGGTGCTTCATGCTTCGCACCACCAGCACATAGAAAGTACAGACGTGAGGCGGGACCGTCACGTTATTGAGAGTCGACTGTAGTTTGCTAGTTTCACCATTGACCGAGCGTCCAAATTTGTCCGCATCGGCTTTTTTGGGTTCATGAAAAGTCCGATATTATGAAGCTCGTAAGGATTACAAGTTTTCTCAAGTGAGGACCGTGTTAAATGAATATTCCGTGCGTATAATACTGATGCAGAATTTTAGGGAATATGCTGACGCTGAATTTTCAGGGAATGTACTGATGCCTAATTTTCAAGGAAGGCGGTCATCCAGTGTCTTTAAGGAATGCCATAACGCTGTATTTTCAGAAAATATATCGACGCGGAATTTTCAGGAAACATACCGGCGCATAATCGCCAGAAAATATGCCGACGCAAAATTTTTAGCGACCGTACCGATGCAGAATTTTTAGGGAACGTTCAAATGGACAACTTTCAGGGAATCTACTGACCACTTTTCTAGATATTCTTGCTCGTCATTCTGGGGGAGAGCTGGGAGAATTTATGGAAATTAGGGATGCAGTCTCGCTACATATTATTTTCATTGATGCAGGAGCCTCAGATGATCTGCTCCTTTTGTATGGAGAAAGGGCACCTGAAGGAGGTGAGTAACATTATCGCCTGAAAGCCCGGATCATTTTCCTATTATCTACATGAAAACACACAATCTCGGTCAGGGAATGACATTCATGATACGACGTGATGAATGTTAAATTTGTGCGCACGGAACGACAGTTTGAACGGAAAATGCATCCGGTACCAGTCATAGGATCACTTAAGGCAAGACACTGGTTCTAAAATCGACTTTTTTGTTTATTAATGGATTATAATGAAAATCGGTGTGCATATGTGTTTTGGCTTCCTCTTTTCAAATATTCAATTAGTTCTGCAATATCTCAATTACTTTTTGAGTTATGAAGAAAATAATTAAGCCTAATTAGGTCATTTCTTACGACTCATTAAGGAACTTTCTAATACGAATTTTTTTGCATAAGTGATATGGATTTGTAGCTAAAGACCTGTCATGCAAGATGATGCTATTTATATTTTTGTAAAGATAGATCATTGTATAGAACTAGTCTAATTAGGTCAAGTACACTATTTAGAAAGCCTAACGAGGTCACATTATCACTAGTAATAAAATTTCGGGCCCATACTGTCATACAAAAATAGCATCACCCTGCAGTTCACTTCTTTCTGAATTCAACGGCATAAAGTATATAGAAATTCTTGAAGAATAATCTCATGAAAACAACCGTAAGGCTAGGCATGTAGACGAAGAATGCGAAGCTGAGAAAATTGCAGTTGAAGTTTTGACACTCATTGCATAAAATTGAGTAAGGGATCCCATGCAATAATGTTCAGCAATATGAAGCATAGTTCTATCTGAACAAATTGAGATGAAAAATTCTGCAATCCGTTCACAAGAACCTTTAAAAAATAATATAAAACTGAGAAATAATGTCTGCAATGTAAAATAAAGTTATAAAAGAATGAGTAGACTCTATAAGGGACAACGGGAGGAGGCACCAAGGGTTGCACGTTCCGAAAGCAGATTTTGTTTGGCCTGAAAAGGGCCTTTGTTCGTGTAGCACTTGAAAGGGGAGCCCCTCACAGCTGTCCAGGACTGTAGTCCCCAGCTGTTCCAGTTTGGTGTTGCCTGGAGAACCTCTGCTTTGCATTGCTGCTGCTCTGGTGGGCAGCGCTGGCCTTACGCAAACAGATTGTCCTTCTCCATGCTTTGAGAGCTTTCATGTCCACTACAATGAACTGTGTCCCAGCGTCGCGCGTCTGGCCTCCTGTGGTGATGCCGAGAAGGTCGGATTTGCGCTGGGTCGCCGACTTTTCCGATAGCGCACGCTTGCATTCGTCCGATCGTGCGACTCGTTGCGCCTGCTCGGCCGTGTAGTATGCGGTGTCGACACGAACCGCGCTCGCAAAGCTCGACAAACTGCCGCTGCTGCATGGAGTCGCGATGTCTCCGGCTGATGTTTCCCGAAGATCCAAGGCATCCGGCGGTGCCGATCGCGGTGGCGTCAATCGCGGTGGCGCACTTGCAGCAGACAGCTTCGGCTTCTTGTTCCACGGTCGCTTCCTCTTCCTTCCGAACGCTTGCCGCGTGCTCGATTTCAACCGAGCGTCGTCCAGCATCTCGAGAACTCGAAGCGAAACAAAACACGCGCGACTTCGTAGGAAAACGAACCAACAATATTCAACGCAAGCGCGCAAACGGGAACTAAAACGTGCGCTCGACCACGGAAGAAACAAAGCAGACAGGCCTAAGGAGACGGGCGGAGACGGGCCCAGGAGCAGACGACGCACCTCTCGCCAGCGCGGGAACAGAAAGGAGGAAAGGAGAAAAAGAGCGGAGGGGCGCGTTTAGGCCAATAGCAGGGGTGCTAGGCGCCGCGCGTGCTCCGACGTATGGGCACCTTGCTAGCCGGCCAATGAGCGATCGCAATTGGGGCCTTCGAAACCCGCGGAATGCGGACGTTCCCCGATGTTGTCGCGATAACGAATGGAATGGGAACGTGGGGAAAATAAGCAGCTTTCCAACAAGACCAAGATGGCCGCGATCCGACGAGCGATCGCGAAACGCGCGGGGCGCGAAGTTCCACTTGTTTTCATTGAACTCGCTGTGTTAGGGCTCTGCGGGGACATCGTAAACATCATTTTTTGCATGCTTAGACATTGAATTCGACACTGAAACTTTGCAGGCAGGTACCTTAGACTACAATTAATCCAAATATGTGAATTTTGAAAAACGTGAAATTTCGCGTTTTTTTTCCATTTTAAGACCCGCGTCTCCCCTTAAAGAAATAAGCACCATTCATGATAGCGTTCTCGTTAGCCAGTAGCTTGCGTCGTTACATGAAACTAGCGTTTCCACGGAATCATCACATGTCTCGGGGTGTTAATGAAATCCCTCAAATTTTCTGTCCAAATAATGTGGCCACATTGCGTGAACAATGGTCATATACTGAAAGGCTCAGGCATGCTTCTGCACGATTTATTTATTTATTTATTCAAAGTACCTCAAAGGCCTGTTGGCATTATTTGAGGGAGGAGAATACAGTCTAATTAACATGAATAAGGAATGGCGGTGAGCCCGCCGACTTCATACAAACAATAAGCAGCAGCGAGGCAGCATTACAGTTCACACCTAGAATCGCAAAAGAAACAGTGCCAGGAAAACTCGCAGCAAACAAAAAGGCAAAAAATCATGGAAGATGTTGAAGGCCTGCAGATGAAGAAAAAGAAGCTTGAGGCAGTTGTTGCCGATTTAACGGCCTCTGCAAATGAATATGCAGAAAAGGCTGAAGCAACTGCTGACATCAAGAAGCTGGTAAAATTGAACAGCCTAAGAAAGACCGCAAGAGCCAAGGCTGAGGAACTCAGCAGCGTTAAGACTCAACTAGCTAATAAACTAAAAGACCTGACGTGAGCTTTCACCCTTTATGTAGTCGAATGAGACTATGTACAATCTCTAGAACTAACTTCACCTAGTCAAATGAAACTGTACGTGCAATAACTTCAATTGAAGTCAGTTTTCTTTGTTCTGTGCAATAAAAATAATATGTGATCTACTGTAGTGTTCTTTATTTTTTGAAAGGTCCTTGAAAAGTCCTTGAATTTTTTTCTTGAAAACCTGTACGAACCCTGCTGTCGATGCTCTTGCAGATTAATGGGAGGGGAGTCGTCGAGGCCGGCTAGCTGCTGGTGTTCCATTGCAGGGGCACTGCTCGGCTCTGCTGGCGCTGCAGTTTCTTTCACGGCAGTACTGGTGGATGGCTGCCCTGGCGGCTCTTGGAAGGCTCGGAAGAGAGCCACAGCCTGGCACTTGTCTCCCAGAGCCAAGAGCCCGAGCTGGTGGCAGTCATGGGCCAAGAGAAGAGAAGCGTTGGGGAAGGTCCCTCTGTATCGATGATGAACGAGGGCCTGATGCTTGCAGAAGGCACCCTGCCATCCAGCTCCACATTCCCACATCACTGTAGGGTTGGATTGCATTTTTATGGTGCAAGGGCTGCTGAGGCCAAACAGCACCAAAGAAAAAACTATTTTATTGAGGGTAAGCAAGAAGAAAGAACTCTAGTGGTCAGGGTTAAAAATAAAGAAATGAGACATGAAACCGGATTATGTCACAAACAATAATGAGCATGAGTGAAAAGCTTTGGAAGCAGAGAGGCCGTCATGAAGAGAAAAAAGCCTGACAGCGCACAAGTTGATGCTGACAACTCGCATGACAAGCGCTTAAAGAAGCAGTTGGAGGAAAAGGTGACCTCGTGCCGTGCGTTGCTGAAGAGGGCGGAAGAGACCGTTGGGGCAGGACTGAAGTGCCAAAGCTTGGAAAAAGTAGAAGGTGGCCAAACTATGTTAGCTGAAGCCAATGCTACTTTGCCACACACTCTTTGCGAGCTGGACAAACTGAAAAAGAAATGCAAAAAGCATTGAGTCAATATTTTGTTTTTCACCTGTGATATATAGCCTACAGTCAAAAGGCAAGAAGTATTAAGCAATATTTTAGTTTTCATCTGTGATATTTTGTTACATAGTTAAGCTTTAGCTGCAAGAATGTTCTGTCATAAATAAAATGGTTTTCTTATGGTGAGTTCTTTTCTTTGTAAATTACTATATGAAATTCAGATGTTCGGGACACACACAGACATATATATATATATGGGGGGTGAGGAAAGATTGACAAGGGCCGCCGTAATATATATATATTAATAAAGACATGGCACAGAACTGCTCTATGTTCATGCTGCTCCAAAATGTTTAGTTTTCCTGATACCAAGGTGCTCCAAAACGAGTTTTTCCCTGCTCCAAAAGGGGAGTTTATGTGATACGAATTGCTCCAAAATTGGGTTTTTCTTGCTCCAAAACCTAAAATGGCTGGGTCACCACTGCTTTTGTCTACCTCTGTTGCGTTCGTTTGTCGTTTGGGACGTTGGAACTTCGAAGTGTCCGCGTTACGATGGACAAGTTCGCCCTGTACAGGTTTCCGGACGAGAGCCTTTCAGTTGATTCAGTAAAACTCATTCAAAACTTCGATCCAATAGTGAAGCACAATTCAAAAACGTGGCCCACTTACACCGGGCCAACCCAGAAGAACAATTGGGTAAAAGTGAACTGGCCGAACGAAGACAAGAACAAACGGGCTACAGGGACAACGAAGCTGCTGACAGCTCAGGTCGTGAAGTTCAGCCGTAAGTATGGATTTCAAGTTAACTTCGTAATGTAGATATTAGAGCGAAGGGCTATGAACCCGTGCTAGCGCGTGCGCCGCGCACTGAAACGGGCATTTCTAGCGCGAGCGCTGTCAGCTAAAACTTTCTCCAAGCTGCAGCGGCCTTGTGCCTGTAGCCTTCGCTTCATATTCGGCTTAAAGGAATACTAAACCAAACAATTTAGTGTCCATAATAAGTGGCGCACATTCTTTTTACGAGCCATGTGATCTCGCTTGCCGGGTCGTGCCGAGCATTTAGAAAGTGGAAAAGGCATAGAGTTTCGGTTGTATACTGTGCCTATAAGTTCCACGTGCTCCGCAGAAGTTTACATGCTCCTAAATGGCAGAGGGCCTCGACCAGATGGCCTCATCATGACTTGTGTACCACGTCAATTGCCAAATACATCATCGCCGTCTGCGACACAGTGTCGTTCGATGAAGTCGTCAAAATGGGAACTACCCGATCCCGATACTTAGGACAAAAATGAGTGTCGCGGGCTCTGAGCTGCGTATGTTGACATGTGGAAATTTCATGTTTGATGGCATTCGGAAGTTTGCATATGTCCAAGAGGGCATTGCTCACTTGTTTCTGAAGGGTGCAAATTACTAATAATTTTTTTTTAAAATTTGGTAAAGTGCCAATACAATTTTATCAGTGCCTTTACCCCACCATGCTTTTCTTTTCTTTTGATTTATTTAAAGGCTTTGTTTCCTTTTCGTCTAACGGGCTATTAGCTTAGAAGTATAGTGGAACCCCGATTATTGGACTTTCAGGGGACTGTGCAAAAGCGTCTTTTAGTCCGTGAGAATCCCAAAAACAATAATTACGACTTTGGGGCTCGGCCCCGCAGGACTAAAATATATGTAACTTCTATATTTATTTCTAAGCTAAATAGTCCGCTAACAAAAAGGGAACAAAGCCTTCAAGTGATTGAAATGAAATTTGCAGGGGAGATTTAACATAAGATGTAGGTGGATTGCGCAAACTTTTAGCTCTTTAGGACAATTTTACGTACCTGCATAAGATGTGCCACTTTTCGTTAAGAAATCTATGATATGCAAATGAAGTTATTGAGCACCGTTTTGATTGCTTGAATGTAAAGTGGGGGATGTGGTACTTCAAGCTATCTAGTCTTTCAAACTCAAATGTAAATATTTCAGGAAGAGTTATTACTTATGAAAATTAGATGCACATATATGTCTATGCAAATTTTTGAAAACAATTTTTTCTCTATGAGGACTTCAACTTAAAATGAAGTAGATAACCTGAATCCGCAGGATATTTCAGTTCATCTTGATTGTGGTATCAGAATACTTTTACCTTCGAACAAAGGATTCCTTCGTATCAAATAGCAGCAAGTGGAACTGAGAAGAAGGCATTCAAACATTGAGCTCTTTCACTTTGTTACCGCCTCACAATCTAGCCCAGGGGTCTCAAACTCAGTTGACTATGGGGGCCAGATATACTACCCCGGAAAGGTCGAGGCCCATGGTAAGGCCGGGGGGAGGGGGGTTTAGAGAGAAGAGACCTTGTGCTTGCTGCGCGTGCAATTTTTATGCTTGACTTGTTTATATGAATGCTTGCGGCAGTTACCTCATGTGATAACAAGAAAAATGACACCGCCCAGCCACCAAGCTAAGCATGCACGCTTTATAGTAGTTCCAGTTGCTCAATTCACTCGGGAATTAATCAATCTCTCTCTACATGTATCGAAAAAAGAAATTATTCGTACGACGGTTTTCGTTTTCTGACGATCGTTATAGCAGCAGTATGATTAAACACTTATATTTTAATGTTAATATTTTCTGAAGGCGAGAATTTTGACCTTAGTCTTTGGCTGTTGCTCCCGCTGAGTGAGAGTTTGTGCAGCCGAGGTGACAAATAATTGGAAAGCAAGAATTAAAACTAAACACAAGACACATTAAAGCAGTATAGAATACACTATATGAATATGTTATAAGAGGAGACTTACGTTTTGGGTGGAATTGAATCAAGGGGGGGCGGGGGAAGGGGCTATTAGGGCACATGCCATTTCTACAGTCCAAGTCATGGGAACAAAAGCTCACAGCCAGTTTTGCGGGCCGCGCCCCCAGAGAGTCGTGGGCCGCATGTTTGAGACTTCTGGTCTAGCCCCTCTCCTTGATAACGCTGGAAGCCTTGTCGCTTGCATTGCCTTGTCGCTTGCCTCCTCTTAATCCTCTGTTTTTCGATTCCATTACCTATTTTTATCTATTCCAGTGTATTTTTTATTGCTTCTTGAATGAAACAGGCGAAGTGCCATGCCAAGCTTTAACTTTATTAAAAAAAAAACAGTGGTCTGCACTTCCAATAGACTACTTCCATAGATTTCTTACTTCATGTATTGCATTCTGGGATCCTAAGGGCTAGTAGTCAAATGCGTATGGAATTCGCTTCCCACTAAATCCCACAATGCATAATGTAGCATTACGCCTAGACCAGGTGCTTCGAGTTTTGGAATACGTCTATTGCACTGTGAACCTGAAAAGTGATGGCAACCTATTCAATTTGAACCAGTATTTTTCACACTCCTACATAGTGTTTTTAAGAACTGAAAAGCCTGCTTTTGTTAACTTGTTGCTTGTTTTCTTCTTTTTTAGCCCATGTGGTGGCCAAATTTCCAGACCAGACGGAGTCAAGTGTCCGCGCTTACTCACGGCGCCAGTGTGATAATGCTTCGTCAGCACTAAAGAAGAATGGAGGCGGGTCCCACGCCAGACTGTTCGAGGATGCCTGCAACTAAGGAACCTCCATTCTTCTTTAGTGCTGTAAAAACTGCCCTCGTATTCTTTTGTTTGCTTTTCTGCACCACACTCGGGACAGTCATTCATTCTGATTTACAGAGAGAGCTCGGTGAATGAGGTGGACAAAAATATGATTACATATAAAATTGAAGTCTGTGGCAGGACACTGGGCATGATGTTTTGCATTGTGCAATGTCCCACCTCGGACTTCAATTTTAGGTCTGATCATATTTTCGGCCACATCATTCGCCAAGCTCTTTCTGTAAATTGCGGTGATTGGCTATCCTGAGGGTTGTGCGGGAAAGAAGACAAATGAAAACTCGGGATATTTTAAGGGCAGACACAAGCTTAAATTTAAAATAATGATAATAATAGTGATAATGATCCCTAATAGCTTTATTTGCATATCATAGATTTCTTAATGAAGAGTGACATATCTTCTTAGGCAGGTATATTAAATTGTCCTAGAGAGCTGAAAGGTTTCACATTACACATACGCCTTTTGTTAAATCTCTGCCAGTTTCATTCCTATCATTTGAGTAGTTCAGAAGCTAAGTCTCTAGACAGTGTCCCTCCTTCAAAGTCCTTAGTGTATAGCAGTTTCTTTAGAAAGTGTTTTACGGTGATGTCTATTTGAATAAATAAATTATGAAACTTTACTATGCCTGAGTCTGAGTTCAATGGGTGAGCACTTTTCAGTGCATTTGGTTAATATAGAACATATTCTTTTTGCAGTGCTAAAATGTATTTTAATGCATTTGGGAAGCAATATTTAAATATATTTTATATCTACGTAAAGTGTGCTCCAATACATTTCCAGAACACATTTAAATGCATTTGGGAAATACATTTAAATGTGTTTAATATATGTATTTCCAGTACATAATATATTTAAAACACATTAAAATGCATTTGGAAAATACATTTAAATATATTTCAGATGCGTATTTGCTATTTTTTTAATATGTCTGGGGTATATCTTAGTATATTTAAATGCATTTCCAGTGTGGACAAAAGAATATGAAATAATACGTGTATTAAATGCATTTTGAAATGCATTTAAGTACAGTCTTTTTTTGCTAAGGGGGTGCTCGCAAAGCTTGATGTTCTTCCAGTCATCGACTACATCGCCGTCAACGGCACCTTTCTCTCCGCAGACGTGTCTGAAGACCAGTCCACGTCTCTCTTTGGAGCGGGCAAACCAGCCTTCTGATGCTTTCAATGAAACAATCTTCATCTTACACTGCATACTTCTCTGCTTCAAGTGAACTCACTCTTATATCAGCTGCAGCAAAGGTGAAAGACTGATGGCGAGTCGGTCCGCCGAAAGCCAAGAGAGTATCGACACTTTTGGGATTTACGGCACTC